AAAAAAAAAAAAAAAGAAGAGCAGAAAGAAGAGGAAGAGGAGGTGGAAGAAAGAAGAGGAGGAAGTAGAAGAGGAGACAACCAAGGTTTTGTTTACACCACTGGTTTTCCTCTAGTTTATTTAAACAAATACATGCCCTTTCCTTTTCATCTTCCTCCACAATCCTCTTTTACATCCTCCTCTTTCAATTAAATTCTTTCACTTATTTATGAACACATTCCTTTTTTTCAAAGGGTAGTACTGTTGAAACCTCCAACCTCCTGGTTATGCATATTAATACTCACAATTTAACAAAACCTTATCCTGCTGGGTTTGGCCACTGCCAAGTAGCAAAAATTCTCAAAGCTAAACAGTTTATTAGGGGAAGAAGGGAACAAAATGCCAAAATGATCTGGCATGTAAAATAGTATGGGCCCAATCCCATGGGTTAAATAAATCCCATATAAAATTTCCAAGATATTTGGAATTTATCGGCTGAATAAAAATATCTAGTAGACCAAAGAAAACGTGAGATGGGAACTTTGTATATACACAATGCCAAGAAAAAAAAAAAAGGATGTTGGGCTGTTACATATGCTATTCTATGCTTTATTAAAGAGCTCAAGTTTTAAACTGTTTCAGTTTCAGTTGGAATAAATGCTTGCAGTTTCCTTTTCACTGCCAAGTTCTAAACTATCAGAAAACAGTCAGCTGTGATTTCTTTTAATTTAGCAAACTTTGAAGATTCATATTTTTGATGATTATAAATGCTGAACTGGAATTAATCAGTGACTCCATTTTTAAAAATCTTAAAGGTAAAATAATTTTAACTATTTGCATTATTTGGAAAGTAGCCATATTTTAAGAAACATGATGCTGAACAAAGTTACAATTATTAGCAGTTTCATAAAACTCTTTTTGTTAAAAAATGAATAAATTGCTACAAGTATAAAATTCATGGGATTATGCTGATCTCCACTTTAGAAATTCCTGTTTTGTTTTTTGTTGTTGTTGTTGTTGTTGTTTTTTTGGTACCAGGGATGGAAATCGGGTCCTTGTGCTTATACCTGGTTTTTTAAATGATAAAAAATTTAATATTTTATTCTAAAGGAAATAAAAAAGGAGTAAATTACTTTGATCGAGTACAATCAAGCATAATAATTATGTGAAAAAGTGGGAGAACCAAAGCAAAACGAAATTATTTTAGCTAAAGTAAAACAAATTCAATGCAAGCAAAATTGAATTTATATTTATTCGTATTTCCAAAAAAAAATCCATATAACTTTCTTTTCCATTCCTGATACCATGCCATCATAAAGCCCAAGTTTCAAATAAAAAGAATGGATAAAATAGCTCAGCGTTTCTATGTTTGCTAACAGACAGATCAGAACAGGTCGAAATTTAACAGATTTGCTCTTAAGGGAGATTATGCTGAAGACATTTAGTCTCTTTCCAGGATAGTCTCCTACCAAGAGGAGCATTTGTCACACAGTAAATGCTCAATGCAGTAAGTGACAAAAGAACAACTGTATGAATAAAGAAACCCTAACAGCTGGGCATCAAAAGACATGAGGTAAAGCTCCTCCCCAGTTCTAATATTATAGGATTGAAATTGAAAAAGTCATCTGACTATTAGAATTGGAAAATAATGAGTTTAGTTGCTCTAGTTCAACAATGTTTCAGAATATAAACTCATCAACTTTAAATTGTTGAGTTATTGAAAAATCAATAAACTCCAAAATACATCATCAACGGACTCATCACTTAACAGTATGTAAAATGATTACACTAAATATCTGTACAACCACTGGATCAACACACTCCAACTTTCTGTCTGACAAAGGCCTCAAGGTGGCCTTTAGCTGATATGGGGAGCTCACAGGAAGCCATTTGGCAATTTAAGATTAACCGCTTAGTCACAACATGACCATTGTTTTTAAATTTTCTTTTGTTTTAATTCACCAAGACCATATACCAAATAGTACGCACTCAAAAAAATAGGGAGCTCTGGGCAGCAGCCGCCTCTCATCAACACAATGCCTAGCTTCTGGATCCAGTCCCATGTTCATCTGACTGTGATTTTCTTGACTAATTTCCCATTTTTCAGCCAAATACTTGTCCCTAGAATCTAACAGTGCTACTGGTTATCGGCTCTTCAAGAATAGTTGACTGCCACCAGCCTGGGTGACTCCCCAGTCAGCTGCAGTTCTGCTCCAGAGCTCCCAGCCTTCAGCCAGGCCTGAGGCGGCTCTCAGAAGAGGCAGTTGCATAAATCACCTGATATATCAAGGTGAAAGTGAGAAGGAAGTCCTCTGGATTACCATCTGCTAAGGCAAAAGTTCTTCCAGTGCTTAAAAACGTCACGTGGATGTTCTGATGAATGTGATCAAGGAGCTTCTAGAGCAGAGCAAGCAACACAGTATTAACCTTATTAACCTCTCAACATCCAAGAGCTTCAGGAAAGGCAGCTGAGCAGAAAGACGATGTAAAGAGCATGAGTGTCAGTTCTATGGCAGAAAAACATGTACTCACACTAACAAGCACGAAATATTTAAGGAACTTAGTGGAAAAATCAGAGCAGGAAAGAGCCTGAAAGGATTTCTTAATAATCTCAGGCAAATGTTTAAAAATAAGCAGAGAATTGGCCTTATATATATGCATGAGTTTTACCCTGAAATATGGAGTTTTACCTAAGAAATGCCTTATAATTCCTAAATTAGTCCAACACTTGTTATCAATTTTAAGTATTACTAAGAATCATTAATAAGTATAATCACTGCTGTTTTAAAAAAAGTCTAGAAAGCTGACTACAACATTTCTTTGTTCCTCATTTCTGGGAAGTTCCTGTGTAGTCTTTCAAAGCTAACTTTAGAGAACACTGCCAATGATCTGCCCCCAAATCACAAGCTGGCCTAAAGTCCCAAGATAGTTCTGTGGTAATTATTTTTCCTTTAAAAAAATACACCGAATCTTCTCCAAGGAATTTTAAGCTACAGAAAGGAATTTAATATAAAGCAGTTCCATCTTGATTACCACTGAAGGTATTTGACCAGCAAGCAAAAGCATAAAGAAAGCGGGGTTACTCTTACTTTTATCTCCCTTATGGCATAAAGAGGTCTGAATGAAAGGCAGTTCAGAAACACTAGGAAGGCTCCAAATCAACTTGAAAAATGTATCAAATGTCATCAACAGTTGTTAAGTGTACTTGCCAAAACATTCTTAAGGTCCTAACAAAACACCGCAAATATATGGGTGGTCTGGGCTCCAAATTATGCCTGACCCCCTTTTTGTCAACTGCACAGATAAATCTTATGTGATAGAATCAAAACAGTGCATGCTAAGAAGGAAGATTATTGTGTGTGTGGGGGGGGGAGGAGGAAACAAGGAGTAGAAATGATCAAAGTATATTATACACATGCATATGCCAAAAGAAAACCCATTGTAATAAACATGCATTGATTAAAAATAATATATACTAAACAAGGCAGCTTAGAGCTGGTGTCACAATACCACATTTCCAAAAGTAGCCAGCAAACTCTTGATTTACCATATTTAGGGTATAATATTTTAATCTTATTTGAAAATCATGCAGTAAAGATTGTGATAACAGATTGTTGAGAGGTCAGGCTTCTGGCTGCATGAAACTAGAAATCCAAACCTAGAAAGTTTTGGCCACTCTACAAAGTCAGCATGGAACTCAATAGTCAACGTTTTGAAATTCACATGTTGGGAGAAGCTGAACATTAGCTCAGGCCAAGGGAATCTTACAGGCAAAAAAAATCTGAAAATGGAAGCAGAAAACATTCTATTCTGTTATTAAAGCAGAACATGAGACAACGATATGCTGACAAAGCAACAAATTGAACTAAGTAGATTGATATCAACTTTAAGAGGCTGAGATCAAATTTAGGATAGAGACAAAGGAATACATAACTGAGCAAGAATCCAATTTCTAAATGACTGCCAGACTTGGAACCAACATAAACATTGTAGCTTCCTTTTAAAATATTTTTCTCATGACCTGGAGGGTTAGATAATATGAAAGGCAACATAGTACGGGGAAGAAACCCTTTTTTTAAAATTTGTTGGCTGGTTTTCCTGGATTAGTTTTAAACTCTGCCTCATTTTGTCTGAATAACATGAAATATGCTTTTCCCTTAAAAGTTTTTTTTCCATTATATTGTCCTTGCAAAATTAGTTACCAATATGGTTAAAGACTAATTTTAAACAAGCTCAATCCCAATGCCTCATTCTATCTCTCCAGTAGTAATCACTTTTAAACATATGGTGTCTATCCTTTCAAATCTTTTTCTATGCATGTGTATGAAACCAGAGAAAATATGCTGTATGGCTGTATATGGCCTTAGAAAATACAAATGGTTTTATGTTTAGCTATTTTGTTTCATTTCAATAATATATTTTGGGGTTAGTCCCATATTAGTACATATAAATCTACTTAAATTGTTTTTTTTTATACTGGATACAACATATCATAGTTTATTCAAGCCACAGTTTAGTTACTCTCCTTGGAAGATATTAGGTTGTTCACACCATCACAAACAATGCTCCAAAAAAGCATTCCCTGGAAGTATCTCATTATGCATGCACATGAGTTTTTTCTCTATCACAGATTTTGAAAAGTATAATGCATAATTGAAATATTAAATGGATAGTACTAAATTACCCTCCAAAGTAGGTATACCAATTTATATTTCCACTAGCAGGGTATGAGAATATTCACTTACTTATGACCTTACATCTCCTGAAATGATCAATATTCTTTAATTTTACCATTCTGATGTGTTTTTTTCTGAGATTGATTTCCTTAAATACTAACAGAATGAATATCCTCTCAGGTACTGACATCTTGTTCACCAATTCTTTTTCCTTTCTGTACAACTGGGCATTCTGTCAGTTTTTGTTGTTTCAAAGGAAATTCTTTATATTCTCACTAATATTTTGTTATGTGTGGAAAATATTTCTCCCAGTCTCTTCATTTAATTTGAAATATTTTGTCATAATGAATTTATTTATTTTTAAATAATTAATTTATTTATTTTTGCAGTGTTAGGGGTGCAACCCAAGGCCTCGCACATGCTAGGTAAACATTCTACTATTCACTTATATCCCCAGCCCATGAATTTTTTTTTTAATGGAGTCAACTGTGTCATTTATTTCCCCTTTATAACTTTTGCTTTTCATGTCATGCTTGGGACTATAATAAGCTCAAGGCTATTAACACAATCTTCTATATTTACTTGTAATACTTTTATAGTCCGAATTATAGCTGACTCTATGAACTATTCTGAATTTATTTTCATACGGTACAATTCTATTCTCTTTTTAAAAAATATGAACAGGAAATTTTTTCATTTATCTGAGCCTCAGTTTCCCTACTATAATGTGGGGGTAATAATATCTACCTCAAAAAAAATGATATATTAAGAGATTGTTTTTAAATTGCCTGGCACAACCCTTCCCAAATAATAAATGTTCACTACATGTTATGTGGATATGAAAATATATTTAGTATAGTTAATGGTTATGCTAAATATATATGAATACAGTCATTTAATAATAGTTAACAATATCATATTTAACAAAAACAGAACCATCTGTGCATATCATAAAAAATACCAGCCAGTCCATACTGGAGACTCAGGTTTTAATATAGCACCTAGCAGGTTAGCCATGTGTGGAAACCGTAGCTACCAGATACACTGAATGGTCTTGCTCCTTAGAAGATACTGAGGCATTTTAGTATTTGCTGAGTAGTTAACATAGTTCAGGAAGTATTTTAAGCACTATATTCTTTAAAGATTCCTCAAAATACCCTATTAGGTACTTTATTACCATTTTAATTTTTATTTTAAAAAATTTTTTTGAGACACACTCTTGCTGCTTAGTTCAGGCTGGCCTTGAACTCACTATGTAGTCCAGGCTGGCCTCAAACTTATGGTGATACTCCTGCCTCAGCCTCCCAGGTATTGGGATTACAGGTGTGCACCATCACACCTGGTTCTATTGCTATTTTTAAAATGAGGAAATTAAGGCACAAACAGAAACACTTAGTGTCTACTGCAGGCCAGGCTAGGAACCAGAGCTGCAGAAATAAACAAAATATAGTTGCTGTCTCCATATGTACACAATATATTATAAAATCAAAGGAGAAAAGAATCTAAGTCAGTTGAGGACAAAATGGGGTAGTATTAAGGGAAAATACTTCCAAAAGGCAATGATGTTTGTGCTACTGATGTGAGCAGAGCAGAAAGAGGTGATATTGAACATGGACAAAAAGTAGAAGAGTATAAGAAAACACATACTCCAAAGCATTATTGGATACTATAATATCAATTCTCAAGTTCCACTAAATAACTTTTACAGAAAAAGGCTTCTTATGGAACAGTAAAAATGGAACAAAAAAGATGTACAGAGAATTGTAGTATTTCAGCCTAGATGAAAACCTTGACAACCTAAATGCCGGAGTGTAATTTGTCCTTGCTAAACTCTCCAATATTACTACCATGATGCGGTGGATCTTCCCTTCACTATACCCACCATGTTCTTCACAACAGGCATATGATGAAGATGGGGTAACAACTCTACCTACACTACACATTATGACAGGGAAACCCAAGCAAAAATCAAATTCCTATCACATTGGGTTTTGTTAAGAATAGTGCTAGATTTATAATTATAGAGTCATAGAACTGAACAGAATTGTAAAGAGTATCTAGTCAAATTCTTTTACTTCAAAATGAGAGTGAAACCAAGAGATAAAATTATTTGTTCAAAGTGACATGGCTACTCACACAGTTGGCCAACCTACCCAATCTTTCTTCAGGAAAGCTACAATAAAGGAACCTTTAAAATCTACTTTATCTGAAATGTAACACATCACATATGATTTAGCATGAGGATAAAGAACACGTGCCCTTTAAAGACATAATTTGCTATGTTGCCAAAGGCTCTGCACATAGAAGCATACTTACTTAGTCAGTCTTTCAATGGTCTGGATGTGTGCATTGTTATGGGTTTGGGAAAGAACAGCTTCGTGCTGAGCACACCTCAAACAAAGACCACCAACACGGTTGGAGATATTGGTAGCAAGAAGAGACTCTTTATGTTTTAGTTGCTGTTTAAGATCTTCGCAATGTTTCTGATATTCAGCTAAGTCTTTCCTAAGAAGAGGGAAAACAAAAACTATGAAATCACCAAGTATAAGTATATGACTTTCAAATGAATCATCATAGCAAATTACTACTATCATTTATGGGTGCCTACCTTACTCCATCTACAGTATTACGATACCTTATTAATTCTTACCACAACCCTGAAATGCAGTGTGATTATCTTGACACATTAAATATAATGAGGCTTGAATATATTAAGTAATTAATTCAGGTTCTTGTAAAATTTTACAACAGTTTAGATTCTCTCCTCTAATAGGATTCTACCTCGTTAGGATACTGCCCACAAAACAAAAATAACTCCTGAACAGTTCTTTTAATAAAGGGGAGGGTAACACAATATAACATCACTGGTGTGAGGGAAATACTCTATTATAAGTGATAACTCCATAAAATGTATAGAGAAAACCTAAAGTTCACATAAAGAGCATGGATTTTACCTGTGATTAATTTACTATTTCCCATTTTTAGGAGGAAAGCATTAAAAATTATCTAACCAGAAAATTCTGCAGAGTTGTTTCAAAAGAAGGTAGGCTATAGAAAGATGTGAAATATAATTTGCCAGTCATTTCAAAAGCAGCAGCTATTAGTTGGAAGTATGCAAGTTGCTGAGAGAAAATGGTTGGAGTGTGTGTGTGTGTGTGTGTGTGTGTGTGTGTGTGTGTGTGATTTTTGTTTGTTTTTATGTTCTGGGTTCATTCTGGATGAAATTTTTCTCCAAATTGACTTTTTTAGAATTAAGTGACCAATATATGGGTTGCATTTTCCTCCTTCTTCATAGTCATGATTTGCTAAAGTCAACTTGAGCAACTGAGCTCCTTGGCCTAGATGTCCCTTTTCTCCTGTAAGTTTGTGTACACACACACACACACACACACACACACACACACACACATTTTTTTCAAGACAGGGTCTTGTTATGTTGCCCAGGCTAGCCTTGAACTTGCAATTCTCCCACCTCAGCCAGCCTCTGAGTAGCTGAGATTATAGGTGTGTGTCACCACATCTGGCTCCTATTGTGTAATTTTTTCAAAACCAACTCCCTACCCCAAAAAGGAGATAAAAACTGTAACTTCCTAAACTATTGAACGTAGTAGCTACTTTATGGAAGCTCTGTCTACTCCTTGTTGTCAGCTTTTCTATGCTCACGAGACTACAACTATCTTTAACTAACTCCAAAAGCCACAAAACAAGATACTTGGCTGTCAGACACTTTTTAAACTCCTGGTATTTGGGGGCTCTCTAACAACACAAGGCAGATGGAAAAGATATACAGACAATCTAAGGGTTAACAAAAGCTAATCTAATGATGGTCTAAAGTGTGTGTGTGGGGGGGAGGCTGTTTTTACCCTGACTCCAAGACAGCATTGCTAACATAGTTAAGTTTTCCTTTTCAGTATCACGTAGACAAAGTCTGACTTTCAAATGCTCTATAAAAAGAAATTTGGAAGCACATTCCAAAGTCAAAATGTCCCGTTATTAATTTCTTTCAGGTTCAGGCTCAAAACACATAAGTAGATTAAGTTACTAGAAATAGCAAAAAAGAAAAATTAAAAGAAATAGCTACCTTATAGCCAGAGTTTTCAAATAGTAATTTTATTATTTTCTTTAAGAAAATGTCTCTTTAATTTTACCTTTTTTTTTTTTTTTTGGTACCAGGGATCGAACCCGGTACCTTGCGCTTGCAAGGCAGGCAGCAGAACCACTGAGCTAAATCCCCAGCCCTGCCTCTTTAATTTTAAATCATACTCAAAAAAGAAAGAAACGGAAGAATGCGGAGAACAAAGTCTAATTCATTGAAAACTGGTATTTTAATGTAATTAAAGATGCATAATTGAATTCTGAATGAGATAAATAAGTCACATTCTCATAACTATAATGACCCAGAAATATATTACTTCACAAACTGAATGAGATAATAACAGGTATTAAAACCAAAGGTAAAAAGCAAGAAAGCAAAAATTAGACTATCTTTTAAATGTTAGGTTTCTTAATAAAAAGGTAAAACTCTACAGAAATCCTAAAACTCACCAGAGTAAGCTATGAAAGGCATAAGAGGACTTAAAAATAAATGAAATGATTATAGATACAGTGACAGCTCTAGTTATGCTTGCTCTAGTTATGTCTGATTGGTATATGGGTTGGAAGAATTTAAATCTTGTTTCAAATTGGACTTAATAAAATTACAAAAAGCACTTAAAAATTTTATTTGACTTTAAAATACTTTATTACCACTATCTTAAAATACTCTTTAAAAAAGTAATACCTAACGTTATTTTCTACTCATCATACAGAAATCATTAATGGTTAACTTAAAGTTTTATTGGGATCTATAACATAAAGACTACAAAACAGGTACATGAGCATTCATCATATATGTACACTAAAATTCATCATGCATATAAATATTCAAGCTATTATAGTACATGAAGAATACAGGGAAAAAATTTGTAATTTCAAAACTAGATTGCTTTATTTTCACTATTTTAACTACAAAACAAAATTTGTAAGACTAGTAATCCTTATTTCTATGAGAAAATTCAAATATATTATAGTTGAAAGGATAAATTTTATAATTTAGCTCACAGAAAAGAGATTTAGAAAAGGACTCAAAATTTTATGCTTTTCAACCTTGAATAATCTGAAGAAAATTTTATGTTGCACATAAAATGTTATCAAGTAATTCTAATATTGAGTAATACTGGGAGTTCCTCAAATATTCAAGTATCTTTTAAGACCACTATGCTTTTCCTGTGGCTATAAATGGATGATTTCACTTTACCTCAAAAATGTCAGCTGAGATTCCAGGATTTCACTTTTTGCCTCATATGTAAGTTTTAGCCTCTCCTGTAGAACAGGAAAAAAAAGTTCAATCTCATTATGTGCTGTATTTTATAAGCAATATTTAATTATTAATATTAAATTTATTAAATATTAATTGAATTCAATATTAAACTTTTTTTTCTTTTTGCTAACAAGAAAAGTAATGTTTCCTCTTAGGAAACATTATCTCATCCCAAATTTACTATTTTTATTGGATAAATACCTACTTACAATATGAGTCATAAAAGAAATTATTACTGACAAATGTTTTTCTGTCAAAATCATATACATTGTCTTAACCTTGAAAGTGTGACTCTGAGAAAAACTGTTGTAACCTATTAAGTCCATGAGGGGAAAATTCAAATCTTATAGTTATGGTAGGGGAAATCCCTCACTGTGTCTGCAGCATATTTGACACAATAAATATGTGCTGAATAAGTAATAAAAAGTAGTTATAAATTACATGATGGCATGCAAAACTAGTATACTATCTACAAGCCTCTGGTCTTCAATTATTCTTTTATTCAACCAACATGTATTGGGTTATGAGGGAGCCCTAAAGCACAAGAAGCTTATATTTTAGGAAAAAACAGAAAGATGAGATGAACAATTTCAATTATATATAACTGCTCCAGTGAGCTATGCATAAAATAAAATAGAATCAGAGAGGCAAGACCTCCTAATTCAGCTAAAATGAAATCTATAAGGCATCACAGAGGAGGTGATATGACTTGAAGGATAATTTCCAATACAGTAAAGCCACAGAGGCTAAAAGAGAACACACTATATCTCTGGATGGTTTGTAGATCAGTGTTACCAGAATGTAAAATGGGATAAAAAGGTAAGGTTGGGCTATGAGAATAAAAATACATAGTGAGATCTTTATTTATATGACTCATGAAGTCAAGTTTTTGTCAGACTGCAACTTAAATCAGAAGTATAGAGAAAGGGAAACCAGCAAAGAAGTCACTGTATGTGAACAAAAACAATCAAGCAGTAAGGAACCGAAAGAAAGGAGTACAGAGTATTTAAGAGTAAAACTGAATTTTATGATTGACTGAAGTTGAGAGAGAAAAAGACACTAAAAAATACCCCTGGATTCTGATTTAAGCAATCAAGTGAATGTTGGTGCTGAAGATTATTTCAGATCAATAAAAGAAGATAAAAGGAAATCATAAAAATAATCTAAAAGAAGACAGAAAAAGAAGGGAAACGAATAAGAATAATAAAATGAAATTGCTATGATTTGGATTGAGAATGTTCCTCAAAGGGCTTATCCACTAATAGGAAAGCTGTTTGGAAGGTGATTGTATAACATTGTGAATATATTTAATGCACATGAACCGTACATTTAAAATAGTTAAAGTAGCAAATTTTATGTTGTGTATATTTTACCAGGACAAAAAGGTACAAAATGGGAAAATAAAAAGCAGATGTATGAAAAAAAGTACCCAAATACTCACCAGCTCTAGCTTCCATTTTTCAGCCTCGCCAGCAGCTTTTCGGATATCTCCATCATCATGGGGAAATGGTCTCTTCTCGCCCACCCTGGAATTTTCACCTGTTGCAACCCAAGAATTCTGCATGTTTCCCTGAAATAAAATGTGCCAGTAACTGCAATTAGCATTCAACTTTAAATAAACAGGCATATTTTACAAGTGGAATACTGATTCTCACTCATATTCAATGGGGAAAAAAAGCATATGCTTCTAAGTTACAAATCAAGAAACCTTTCACATTTTCAGCTTATTAGGGTCGTATTCTACACCAGACTCTACACAGAGTCAAATTCCTACAGGAATAGGCAATAATCCCAATGTGAACAAAGAGGAATGGATGTCACTAATTTCAACAAACGGAATTATTCCTTACTCCTCCAAAGACATATACTTCTTTTCCTTTTTTCTTTTTTTCCCTTTGTGGTGCTGTGTACTGAACCTGGGATCGCATACCTTTTAAGCAAGGGTTCCACCATTGAGCTACAGGTCCAGCCCTAAGACATATACTCTTGAAACACACAGCCCTCTCTTGGTTTGTTTTTCATTTTCTACATTTTGTAGAGGGAGGGCTAATAATGACAGTTGCGGGTACATGAGGTGTTTACTATGTGCTGGGCACTGTTTTATGAGTTTCATATAACTTGCTAATGGTCACAGAGGTGGGAGGTGGCTAAAGTGGAAGAACTAGGATTTGAACCCATGCAATTTGGCTCCAGAGTTCATGACTGTGACATAATAAGAAATATTTGATGTCTGTCCCTGGATCCTAAAACCACGGTAATTTTCTGAGTATTCTTAAGAACATCTTTTGATGTACTATTTGGTCTTAGCCCCTGGTTCCTGACTCAGCAAAACCCTTAGAACGCTCAGGGTGATAAGGAAATCTTTTTATGAAAATGAGATGACTGGTGGCAGGGTCCCTAGATAGTTTTAGGGGATGACAGTTACCAGAAGGACCAAGGCACAAGAGGACTAGAACTTTTGGTCCACCCCCCCCCCCCCAGAGGAAAGAGGGTTTGGAGATTGACTTAATCACCCATGGGCAGTGATTTAATCAATCATCTCTATGTAACGAAGCCTCCACAACATCCTATGTGATGAGTTCAGAGTATTTCTAGGTTGGTGAACACATCCATGTGTCAAGGAGGTGGCACATTCCAACTCCTTGGAGACAGGAGCTCCTATACATGAGGCCCTGGACCTTGCCCTATTACCTCTTCAATGGTTGTTCATCTGAATTATTTATAACACTCTTTATAATAAACCAGTTGTTATAACAAAATATCAATATGAGGAATGGGTTGTGGGAACCCCCAATTTATAGCCAAGTCAGACAGAATTATGGGTAACTTGGAGATTGATTATTTGTTATTGGCATCTAAGGTATGGGGTAGTTTTGTGGGATTGAGTCCTTAATCTGTGGAGTCTGATGCCCACTCTGGGTAGCCAGGGTCAGAACTGAACCACTGGATACCAAGTTGGTGTCCACAGAGTAACAGAAAATGGCTTCATGTGGAAAACAAAATCCCAAACATTTGGTGTCAGAAGCGGTCTAAGTACAGAAAAAGGAATATTTTTCCTTGAATCTCCTAAACCATTATGTGATTATGCCTTTCAAAAAGAACACTTTATCTTTAATAAGAAAAAATAGTGCATATATGTTGATAAACAGAAGTGATTTGGGGATTCAAAAAGGAGTGGTAGATGGGCCGGGATGTAGCTCAGGGGCACCACACCTGCCCAGCAAGTGCAAGGTCATGAGTTTGATTTCCAGTACCAAAAAAAAAAAAAAAAGAGCGATAGGGACCATGGAAAATGGAGGAAATATGTCCTGTGCAAGGAAAGTGGCCACTACTAAGTTCCAATCAATAGCTTCCATGTGGGAATGCAAATTCTTATTACCAGACCTTTTTTTAAAGACAAGATAGATTGTAGTTCATTTGAAACATTACTAAATATTGGCTCAAAGTTTGTCAAACAAACAAAACATGTCTTTGGATTGAAGTTGGTATTCCCATTGTCAGTTTGCACTCTGCCACCCTCTCAACATTCAATGAAATATGGAACCTAAAGATTTAGGTAAATTTATGTATGCAAAAGGATTAAAATATGTTAATTTAATTCAAGTAATTATTGACCTCTTGCTAAGGTCCAAAGGTTATAGTGCTCATAAGGGATATAGTACTCATAAGGTTCCTAGCACTGAATAATACTGCAGGGTCATATCATTCTAGAATGTTGTTGTATTAGTTACTTTTCTCTCACTGCTGAGAAAAAATACCTGACATCCAAAGTTAAAGAGGAAAGGGTTTATTTAGCTCACAGTTTGTAGAGATTTCAGTCCATAATCAGCTGACTTCAAGGCAGGGTGACAGAGGGGTAACAGCTCATGGTAGCAGAAAAAGAAAAAGCAACAAGGGACAACCACAACTCTTTCTATCCCTTATATCTTGTCCAGACTACTTAGGGCAGTAAGTAGCACTCACATCCCTTATCCTAGTGCTACTGAACCTAGTATTGCACCATAAATCAATTACACACTCTAGATTCAGTCACCTCAGAAAAATCCCCACCTACAACCGCATGAGGCTTCGGGGGGGGAGGACATCTAGACACAAGCCATAACAGTGGTAAACTGCATTCATCTGTAGAAGTAGTCTGAGATCCTATTCCATATTCTTCTGCAAGTTCTAGTGCAAACATGTGCAGCAGTTACTGTATTCACAAACTGTGCCAAAAGCTTCCAAGTCAAAAATGAACAAGACCAATCTCAGACAAGAGGGGTTTACAGTCTAATGAAGGAAATAAACACCAAAGTGGATAATTTCGATTTAATAGCTAAGTTCTAGGCCCAAAGTGTGCATGAGGGACTATGCCAGAACAAAGAAGGGATATTAAACAAATAGAAACTTAAAGGTTTTCAGGAGTAGCTTTGGCCCTGGTGCAATATCTAGATGGGAGAGTTATTCTAGAAAGAGGGAAGACCACATCTACCTGAGAAAAGTCACAGATGTGAAAGAGTATGGTGCCTCACATAGGAGGATTCATAGGAAATTCACCCATTACTAGAAGTAAATGTACAAGATGATGGAAGTCAGAAGATAAAGCTAGAGAATCAAATTAAGGATCTCAGGAGGAGTATAGTATGCTATGCTAATGTGCTTGTACTTGATTGTGTAGGTGGGGCCAATTCTCCCAAGATGTTATTGCATTCAAAGCTGCTTTTGAGCTCAATGAAGGACAGGGTTCTAGTTTCCTACGGAGAAATAAGAGAAAGCTTATAGACAAAGCTGATTTAGGATATAAAATATTATCATTTTGTTAAAAGAAATGCTAGTCTGATGGACATTTTGTTCTTTCACAGAAAGTTAAAAAAACCCAAAAACTTGAGTGGTATTTAATTAAGTTACCAAAAACTGTATGTATTAAATCCTGAAGTTCATTAAAAACTTTATATTTCTTAATTGAAGGGAGTATTAGTAGTGGAGGGAGACCAAACATAAAAAGAAATGGCTTAAAAATGTTCTACTTAGAAAAAAAAGTCCAAGTGAATGAGTATACATGTCAAAATTTCTAATAAATAACTGCTTTTAATATCATTTTTTGAACTCTAGAGAAAGCTTCCCCTGAAGAGTAATTTTATAGAACAAACAGTGGTGAAAAATGAAGATAGAAATGAAATATAGTGCATAGTTTCAGTTTTTAAAAAATCATCTGGAATCTGGGGGTAAAGGCCTGTAATCCCACCTACTTGAGAGGCGCACGCAGGAGGATTGAAAGTTTGAGGCCAGCCCGGGCAATTTAACAAGATCCTTTCTCGAAATAAAAATAAATAAATAAAAAGGTGCCAGATGTGTGGCAGAGGTAGAACACCTGCCTAGCATGTGCACAGCCCTGAGTTCAGCTCCCTAATCCCATAGAAACACAATCATCTGCTTGCTTCTTCAACTTCATAGCTAGGCCAAAAGCTAATCGTCTTGCTGGGCTCCCTCCAAGTCCAGGGCTGGGCATGCGAGGCACCAAAAAGGACAGTCTTCTCTTCTCTGGTGGGGGAAACTTTTAGTCTATGCAAATGAAAACGGTTTCATTCAGTATTGATGAACTTCTCCTGTCCATGCAGAAAGGTAGTATAATTTGAGGTTAGGTAAAGGGGCTTAGGGAGTCAGACAGTATTGGGTTAAGTCTCTGCTTTGGCATTTTGTAGCTCTGTTACGTCAGACTTGTTATTTAACCACTGTGTGTTTTAATTTTCTCCTCTGAAAATGCAGATAATAGCACCTGCCTTATGTGGCTATTGTGAAACTGAAATCACATAAAGTGTTTGATATAGCGCATGGCACATTATAATGTAGTTACCATGTAGTTACCAATAAACATTAGTTATTACTATATAACTGTTTCAGTTATTTTTCTAAAGAGGACATTATGAAACACTGAAAATCAATATTCAAGTCAGCAATAGTGCTGGCAAATTCTAGCATCAACATTTCAATTCACTCATTAAAAAATGTCTCCCATGGAAAAGAAGATCATATCTCTGTATCTCTTTATATTTAAGAAATTCTAGAAAGTTTTCTTTATATCAAAATTTCCCATACCACACCCTGCATACATTGCTGAAATGCCTCAATTTAGGTACACAAGTAAATGTGAGAGTAACAATTCTGTAACAATAAATGACACAGAAGAAATAGCATGAAAATCCATACCACAGTCACTGGACACATCTGCAAGGATCATATCAATATTTGTACTACATTTTAGTTCATGTAGATGTTTACAGGAAGTGTACAAAACCTCTCTGTAACCTCATGTGTTCTAGGGTTATGACTGAAGTTTTTCTTAGCAAATTCTCTTTGCTCAGTCTGCCAGGCATGTGTGCTATTACTCTCATTTCCTTCCCTTTCTGAATTACTCATTTCTCTTGCTCTTTGATTCACTGGTCTGCCTAATTTCCTTCCTTACTTCACTTCCCCTTCTTCTACTTCTTTGCCATTATATAAATATTGAAGATCATGAATAATGGAGTTGTGCTAAGTGGCTACATATTTCAAAGGAAAGCAAAAGACTATATTTCTTTTCTTTTTTTTTTCTTTTTTGGTGCCGGGGATTGAACTCGGGTCCTTGCGCTTGCGCAGCAGGTGGCGAAACCACTGAGCTAAATCCCCGGCCCTATACTTATTTTCTTAATGAGCAACTTCTAGGTAATTTTAAAAAAAATGTTTATGGTGTTATCTTCTTCAAATTGACATTAAAAAATAAGCAAGAGAAAATTTAAAACCACTAATAATAATCATACAAATTTTCAAAAAAGTTAAATATTGAGGGAAAAATAACTGGTTATAAATTTAAATGTAATTGCAGAAAAATAAACTGAAATACCAATCAGCCTACCTTATTTTTCAGAGTTAACACAGATACTTCTCAAAAGCAAATTCTAACACATATAACTTGACTAAAAATAACTCAGAAATAAAAAACTCTTCAAAAACAAAATGAGAAGATACCTAAGTAAAACATCAAGACTAATACACTAAAGATGACTAAATCAAAGCCACCAAAGTCAATACAAAGTAAAGCTGCAACAGCAAAGTGTTAAAACTTCCCTACAGCCAGGCACAGCGGCACGTGCTTATAATCTCAGCTACCTGTGAGGCTGTGTGCGGCTGAGGCAGGAGGGTCACAAGTTCGAGGCCAGCTTTGGCAACTTAACGAGACCTTACTCAAAAAAAAGGTGGGGAGGGGTGAGAATGTAACAGCATTTCCTCAGTTTAATCTCTAGTACCTCAAAAAAAAAAAAACTTCCCCATGGAAAGCTGAAGTTGTCACAAAAAGAACATCTGTGATTAACCGTGTCCTACAGCAAAATAGTGAAAAACACAATCTAAAAGTATCTCTGACCAGTCATAAGAAGACATTAAATTTAAACACTTTAAATATCTTAACAAGAATTTTGTGCCACAGAACTATAGAGATTATCTGTTCCACTGTTCTTCAAATTATAGGAAACTGCTATTAGAATCACTTAAGACAACTTGATAAAAATTCATATTTCTATGACCCAACTAGACCAACTGAATCAGACTCTCAGGGCATGGAGTCTAGGAATCTATGCTCTTAATCGCTGATACAGGTGAATATTCTCAAATTATTAGTAAAGGAACTACCCTGGAGGTTCAGCCATGCAAAGCCCTACAAAATCGTTTGTTATATAGCCCCCAGTACTACAAAACTAACAAACAAACAAAACTATTTGGTGAACACTGGTTTCTTATCTACAATGGTTAAGATTAACATTTTGATCTGTGGGCCCTCAGTACAATGTTCTTTCTGTTATACCATATTGTTAATTAGATCTATTAGATTTTAGAGCTCACAAAAAGTTTAGAGAAATCCAACAGAGACCTAAGGTAAGGTTCTGAAAACTTTCTAGATTGAACAAAGTTTTCCTATTTAACACACTGTCTGCTTTCAGAGCGATTCTTTCTCCACATGGAAAAAGCATCAATGTTAAGCCTAGAGAAGAAACTGGAGTAAATATTAGGCATCACTACATTATTTCACTTGATAATACATTCCACCACAGTGAATTCTAAGTTTTGAATCATCAAGCAAATACCAGTGTAGCACTTGGCCAAATATCAAGGAGAGAATCTAGAGTTCAGAAGGTTGGGGGAGAGGGGAGAGGAATATTCAAACTAAAATAGAATTTATGCCTTTGAAAATGCTCACAGATGCATCCAGAAGGGTTTGTTCTCTCATCGTCTCCTCTTGTATCTGAGATTTCAGCTCTTGCTGGAGTCTTTCATTTTCAAGCACAACTACTTGTACCCTGTTTTTCATTCCAGATAGTTCCTCCTGTGAAAATCAGAAACCAAGTATATTAAACATTTTTAAAAAATGTTCTTATTTATGATTGCTAGAGGATTCAGAATAATACGAAGTATGGAAAATATACTCTTGATCAATTTCCTAAAATATTATAATTATACTTAAGACAAGAAAGGCAACCTAAACATTAGCTAGTGAACAAAGAGAAGGCTGGGTGTATACAAGTTGAGAACCTGCTGATGGCCGTATCACAAATATGTTTAGTTTCTGACAATTTTTTTTCTCCAAGGGATTGAGGTTCACAGAAAGACCTTAATTAAAATAGTTATCTAAGAAATTTTTAAAAATGAGGTAGACTGCTGAAAAGTAAGATGAATTGTATTATTACTAATGGCCAAATGTCAAGAACTTGTGAGGACTAAGTAGAGGAAGGCTGTGAGATAAAGATATAGATAGATCCAATGATTATCTATGAACTTGAGCCAGATAAAGGGGAATGGTGAGTAAAGCAATTTACTGTTCCAAAAAAGAAAGACTTTGAGAAGACACCCCAAGAGACCTTGACTGAGAAGGCCTGCCTAGGGAATTGGATTCTCAGGATTTGTTTCATAGCACTCAGTCCCCCCGGCACTCAGAAGCCTCTAAGGGCATGATACAAGGGGGTCTGGCTACTCCTCCATGTGGTGGCAGACCTTGGCATCATCTACATGGTACTTATTTTATGGGGATACAGAATGCAAGAGTTGTGGGATTGAGGAGGCTTCCACCTAGATTTAAGAAAAAGGCCAGGGATGCCAGACAGTGTGGCCCTGAGAGCCCAGTGCATGAAGCTATAAGTATGAAGCTGAAGGCCACAGACAGTGAGGGAAACCATCACAAAAGAGAGAATGTGAGGGTTACAAGCAGCAGTGCTGTAGAGGTGGTGCTATCCAAGCCATTTGGAGTCCACATTGTGCCACAATTTGCCTTGGGTACTGGAAACAGAGCTATAGGATTTAATGTTTGTCCCGCTGGTTTTGGTCTTGTTTTGTCCCTATTCCTTTCTATCCCCTGATTTCTCCCCTTTAGAATGGAAATATTTACTTTGTGCCATTGTATGTTGGTAGTCTTTAATTTTCTTTTTGATTTTTACAGGGCTCACAGCTAAGAGTTTGCTTTAAATCTCAGAGAAGACTCTGAACTTGGGCTTTTCAGCAATGCTTAAACAGACTTTGGCAACTCTTAGAGATATGCTAATATATTTTGCATAAAAAGATGGACATGAGTCTTTCCAGGCCCAGAAGTGGAATGCTACAGTTTAGGTCAGGAATGTCCCTCAAAAGTCTCATGTGATCAGAGGTTGGGTTTTTGGAAGTGACTGGATCATGTGAGCACTCTACACATCACTCAATTAATACATTCAATATGGGGCTGTAATTCATATGTCCCACTGCTAGGCAGCTCTGAACCACTGGTGGTACATGCATGACTATTCCATCAGGAGGCATGGGACAGTCCCATTGGGTAGTACAAGGTGCCCAATGGGAAAATCATGCATGTACCACCAAGGGTACAAGCTGCCCAATGGGACAGTCATGCATGGACCACAGGTGGTTCAAGCTAGCAGGAACATGTTAATGCACTGAAAAACTCAGAGCTGAATGTGCTGTTAGGAGGTGGGGACTCATCTGAAGAGGTAGATAACTGAAGGGTGTATCTTCCTCCCAGATCTTCCCTTTACTCTGTGCTTCCTGGCTGCCATGATGTGAGCAGCTTTTCTATCTGACCTTTCTACTATGCTATTTCTGTGTTTGAGCTTGCCAATCATGGACTGAAACTCCTAAAACTATAAGCTAAAATAAACCTCTCAACCTTTAATTTGTGGGCATCAGGTATTGTGTCTCAGAGATGAAAAAAGTGACTCAGACAACATCCTATTTTCTATTATGCTGCTATGGTACTCACAGGCAATAGTTTTTTATTCCCAACTAGTTGGTAAGTTAATTTTACTTTATATTTTTTAAAGTTTTGTCTATAGGATCTTAGGGATTAATAGATTCTTATTAATGCAGTAGCTACGAAGGATATAATTTTAGCTTTATTGGTAATCCCAGAAAACCTACATACTAATGATTGTATCTTCCAAGAACAAACAGAAAATTAAACATTAGGACCAGGAATTCCATTATAAAATCAAGATAATGAAACATCTAGAAGCTCCTTAAGTTATATATTGGCCTTATACCTTTGGAGAACACTCAAAATATTAAAAATATAGTGCATGATACAAAAGATACCAGTAATTCCCATAAAATATCACATAATTCAATCCTTTGCAGCAAAATATACTCCTCCTAAATATATATAAATCACTCATATTACCTATGGACTAATAATAAAAAGACAAAAGGATGAAAGAATATAATAAAACAAAACTAAAACTAAAACTAATGAAATTAGTAAACTACGTATAGTCAAGCAATATAACCTTCCAGTGTCACAAGTTATAGGTGATGCATTTGGTTTTGAGACCATTTTAATAATATCTCATGAGTCATTCTTTTTAAAGTCAAGGTAAAAGTTTTAATAATGACAATGGAAACAGATTTAGTCTACCAGCTTAGAATCCCTGATTGTTGTACCACATCTTCAATAGGTTGAAAAGTGTGGGAGAATGATTGGTATTAGTATTCCAAAACATTTGCCATCTGCTAGGCTACAGTAAATGGAGTAGAAAGGAAAAAATTCTGAAATATGAGAGGGTATTATAAAATCATTAGACATAGTAATGGAATGCTGAGAAATTGAGCAATCTGAAAGGTCATGGTCAAGAATATCATTCCCAAATCTGACAAGCTTCTTTAACACATCAATCTTTCAATAATTTTAGAATGATACTTGTCAAGGAATTGTTATAAACATGAAGACCACTAATAGCAAATTTTAATTTATGGTACAATTAATATACTCATAAGTTTAAATTTATTTAGGATTAAACTAATGAAAAACTTACCTTGCAGAACTTGACTTCTGCCTCTAAATGATGAATGTATTGAGACTGATCATTAATGATAGGAACAAGGTTGTGCACAGTAGGCATATTGGTTTCCTCATATTCTGATGACCTCTAAGGCACAAAAGCCAAATTAAGCATGTTTGGATTTACCAACTAACCTCTACACTCAATAAGGCAGTGATGTGCTATAAACATAGAATATACCCCAATGTACTCAACAGTATTTATTTCTCTATTCTGTAAATTCCACAAATATACAAGATCCAGGGATATGAATATCATTTTTAAAGTCAGAAAGTGAGAACAGTTATAAAAAGCACATGGCAAATGGAAAAATGCTGGAGTGGCATAACTGGCTTGGAATGAACAGCCTATTTGAACTATCTGACAATGTGATGTCCCATTAGTAATTCTGAGATACAAATAGCCAACTTTAAGAAACTGCTATAGAAGAGGGCTGCTAGCTGAAACTACTAGCTGAAAAAGAGGAAACTTTTTCAGTGCACTGAAAAAGAGACTCAAGCATTTGATGCCAAATGTGTCAGTGACATAATATTCCATCTCAAAAAATATTCATTAGAAAAATGTTTTGCTTTTTGTTTTGCTTTTGACATTAGTACTCAAGGGAATGTGAAGGTAAGTTGTTCTGGAGCTCAGAACTGGCAACAGTAGGGCCCTAAAGCAGAGACACACATTAACTTAGTGACTAACAGCACCAAGGATCCCAATGAAGAGATTTCAGAACAAGTTCTAAAGTGATCCAGCTCTTCAGCATGGTTGGGAATTACTTTCAATGTAAACCTTTCTTATCTTATAATGATTGTGAAATGGTTCATAAAATTATGTATCATACCAAGATTTTTTTAAAGAGATAATCTGAAAAAGGGGAAAATGAGAGTAAACAAGTTAAACCTAGAGAAAAGATTGAGACAAGAGAGTTTCTGTTTCTTAATCATTCTGTTTCTCAGTCCAGTAGAAATTCTAAACAATACCAGCTCCATGGCAAAATAATTAACATTTTTGCTTTTTTGGTATGTTTCAGAAATTTAAAAACCAAAGTAACTTTATTTTTAAAAATTAATTATTTATTTTTTGCAGTGCTGGTGATCAAGCCTAGAGCACCATACCTACTAGGTGAGAGCTCTACCCCTGAACTATAACCCCAGCACGAGTGTAACTTTATTTAAATGAACCACCTGTGCTGAGTAGAAAGCAATTAATTGTAATTATTTTATGTTGAAAGAAATGAGTCCAGAAGGTACACAAATACAGTCAGTCCTCCATGTCATCCACAGTTTCAACTAATTATGGATCAAAAAGTTTGAAAAAAGCTATGCACAGACTTTTGTTTTCTTTTTTGATCATCATTCCCTAAGCAATATAGTATAACAACTATTTACATAGTACTTACATTGTATTATGTATCATAAGTAATCTAGAGGTGATTTTTAAAGTATATGGGAAGATAACCACAGGTTACATGCAAATATTACGGCCTTTTACATAAGGGACTTGAGCACTGGGTGTTCTGGAACAAATTCCCATGGATATTGAGGGATAACAGTGTTATTATCCGTATGTAGGGGAAAACCAACGTGAAAAATAAAGAAGCAAAAGCTAATACTGCGTGGAAAATGTTCACAAATAATTGGCAAATACTTTGGTATATTTTGAATGGTTTATTATTATTTGGATAGTCACATATTAAAATAAGTAATAATGTCCAGATACATTTTCCATCTGAGAAATGAGTTAGAATCTAAGCTCCATTCTTTTACATATCTTCATACAAATAAACTTGTGCATTTGTAAAGTACAGTAGACACTATATGTGTACTAAATAAATTCTTCTGATGAAGGTCTTCTGATTCAGTAAGCTCCATAATATCACCATTCAGTTTTATCCTTATAAAGTTAATAAGTATGTCTGCAAATTTAACAGACAACTTCATCTAGCAGACTTGAAGGCACTCCGCCCTCAGTGTGCTTAAAAGCATTCTATAAACCAGATATCAATAGTAATAAACTCACTGAATGACACAATATTTTATTAAAATTATACTCTATACTTATAAATATTGAATATGTGTCTTTTTGTGCTTTTCTATAAAGTAGGAATTAAGCACAGAAGTATGTGTCAGGCTGGAGAGAAGTGCTAATCTAGAGTACCATTATGACATTTTGACTGTGAATAAAGCAAAGTGACAGGTCTCCAGTTTCCAGTATGTAGATTTTGTATTTAACTATCACACACACTGATTTTGCTGCCATGGTACATATTTGTGTCATACTTCATAGATTTCTGAAGAATTATTGCAAAATCCCTGTGAGATAGGCCCAAGTCCTTCTAGAAAGTATATTAATAGGCCCTATTTACACTCAAGGGACAGTTTATTATTTTGAACTAGTCCAGAGTTGTATCTCTCACATCTATCCCAGTCTTTAGCATATAAAATGCTTTAATCAGGAATAATACACTGTGTCAAAGCACTACAAATCTACCTCAGAAGAAATAGAACACACTATTTTACAGCTACATTTTTTTTTTGGACCGGGGATAGAACTCGGGTCCTTGTGCTTGCTCAGCAGGCGGCAAAACCACTGAGCTAAATCCCCGGCTCTACAACTACATATTTTAACATGTAAAATAGTATCACATACCCTAGTTTGACATTCAGAAAAAAAAGGTATTATAAGGGGGCACTAAAATAATTGAGTAACTTCTAAAAATGACTAAATATAGAAATGATCTCTAAAAAATGAAATTACTGGGCTAGGAAATGTAGCTCACTGGTACAGCACTTGCCTACATGCACAAGGCTCTAGGTTCAATTCCAGCACCATAAATAAATATTACTATTATGCTTTTAAATGTGTTGTCCTTTTTCTATATTTTCAACAGTTGTGAAATAAATTAAACTTTTCTCTTGCTGACATTTCTCAAACAAATAATACATTAAATATAATGAATTAAAAGTCAAATCAAAAATATATTCCTTCTTCAATAGGAGTATCTTCCTCAGTCAAAATAATCACTAATGCCTTCTACTATTACATGTTTTAAATTGTCTTCAATATGTACTACAAAACACACTTAGAAAATCATTGCTTTACTCACCGAAGGGGATATTTTTCGTCTTCTTGATGGAGATATCTCACTTTCCTTACTTGCTTGTTGGCGTAACAGAGCTTTGAGCTGATTAACTACACAGCAAAAGCAAACATGATTATTCACTTTGATTGAGATCCATGGTTTATGCTATAGTTCCCTAAAGGCTTCTGTATCATGGCTTAGTCTCTAGCTTGGCACTGCTGGGAGGTGGTAGAGCCTGTAAGGTGTATAGCCTAGTGAGAAGTCTTCCAGTTACTGTGGGTGTTGAGGTTAGGGTGAAATTTCAACTTGACTGGCTTTGGGATCTTCACTGGGGATTGGTGTAGAACACTTCAAGGTAAGTCTGCTTGGGAAAGAGGTCTTGGGGGTCTATGTCTGTTCCCTCATCCTTTCAGCTCTGCTTCCCAGAACTCATGACCTAAATAGCTTGGCTCTGTTGTGCTCTCCCACCAAGATGACTCTGAGCCTGCTGATCATGGACTGAAACCATAAGCAAATTAAACCTCTCTTCTTTTAAGTTGGAGGTGTTGGAATTTATGTTTCAGTCACATGAAGGCTTTGTAATATAAAAAGGATGTCCTTGAAGGGAAGGATAAGAGCCTAACCCCTTCCTCTTTCACTGTTTCACTTTCTGGCCACTAGGCAAGTGGGTTTTGCTCTACTAGTACTTCCACCATGATGTGTTGTCTCACCAGAAGTCCAAAGCAAAGGGCCAGTGAATCATGAAATGAGATCTTCAAAAGTCTGAGCCTACATAAACCTTTTCTAAGTTGATCTATCTTGGATATTTGTTATAGTGATGGAAAAGTGAGTAGTACAGTTTATCTTCACCCATCCTACAGCTATGTAACAAATATTGCTTAAACTTCTATTAGACATCAAGAACTGTGCTACTGACTTGGGATACAAACATAAAAAAACCCTACCCTCTGAGAACTAGGAATTAGCTAGGGGTGATGGAGCACACTTGTAATTCCAGCACTCTCTGAGGCTAAGGAAGGAGGATCACAAGTTTGAGTCCAGCTTAGGCAAGTTAGGAATTTAGTGAGAGCCTGTCTCAAAACAAAACAAACAAACAAAAAAAGCTATCCTAGAAAATAAGGGGAGGGCCAGGGATTCAGCTCATTGGTTTTGCCACCTGCTGCACAAGTGCAAGGACCCGAGTTCAATACCAAAAAAAAAGGTAAGGACTGACATTTGTACTCACCGGCATGGCTATGCTGCAGCTCATGCCAGGCTGTCTCAGTGTCCTCATGTCCTACATTGATGCTACCGGAAGGATCCAGTGCTTCTTCTTCAACAGTCTCAGCCCCTTCTCTCAAGGCACATTTTAGTTGGTGAATGCTTCTACTGGCACGCTCTGTAACAAAAATGTGATGAAACTCGGAGCCAATAAATATGAGCAATCACATGGACACTTGATCAGGAAGGCAGTCTCGAAGGGAGAATCTGCTGTTTCTGGAACTTTATGCATAAGAGCAGAGTTCTTGGTGGGGACTATGCCAGAAGAAGGGAGAGAAGACTAAGCTCAGCTGTTAGAGGTTAGATAGGATGATATCTAAAGTTTTTGTCACTGCAATTGTTGATTTCTTCTTTTTTTATGCTTGGGATAGAACCCACGAACTCACACATGCTAGGCCTGTGCTCTGCCAGTGAACACCACCAGCAAACAGTACTGAAAGGCAGAACTCCCTCTTCCCTCAAGCAATAACCAGTCCAGGTATATGCCCTCCTTCCCCTCAGTGCTTAAATGTCCACTACTCTGTCTGGAGACACAGGAGTGGGTAGGTAAGACCAGCCCGAAGGACTCAGTCATGTTACTCCTGGCCTAGGGAAGCCTCATTCTCCCTGAGGACATGATACCCCTGCCCCATCAGAAGACATCCAAATGCCTGGCCTAATTTTGATTGAGTTTTGAACAGCTGAAGTGCTCATGGTGGCATACCCTATTGTACAGGCCTCCTTATCCACTGTTGGCTGACTCTTTATGTAAAGATTCCTGGTTAGTACAACTGACCGTTATTAAAAATGAGGCTCAAACTAACTAGCACACTTATATGAAATATGATTGAAAAATACAATGTTTAAATTTTTTAAAAATATAGTTAAAGACACATTGCCATTAATTTCCCTTCAAAGTATTCCAACTTGCTTGGAACATGCTTATTCCATTGTTATTGCCACTTCTTGAAACAGTTCCGGATGCCCTCTTTGGTATCTTTAGATGCACTGTTGTGCATCGATGTCCTGAACTGATTCAAAATGTTTACCTTTCATGGTCACTTTGACTTTGGAAAGAGCCCAAAGTCACACAGTGCTACATCCAGTGAATAAAATGGATGAGGACACACCATAATGTTTTTACAAGCCTGTTATTCTATTGGATGGTACTCAGTAGCAACATTCACCATATTTTTATCACAATGCAAGACACTCATGAAAGAGGACTTCCAGAATTGTGTCAGAAAGTGGCAAGAATGATGGAATAAATGTGTTTGAAGCAAGGGGGAGTAGTCTGAAGGGGATTAATGGGAATCTGTCTTGTACTTGAATACATTTTTAAACATTTGCCATACTTTTTGATCATCCCTTGAATGGTCTTGCTATGGTTTGGGTCTAGATGTCCCACAAAGCCTTATTTGGTCATTGGTGGCCTCAGAGGTGGCTGAATCTAGAGTGTGAGTGCTGGGATTAAGGGCATGTGATTACTAAACCTGTTCACTGATGGGTTTAGCACTGCCCTAATCCCAGTAGTCTGGATAAGATAAAAGGGGCAGAAAGACCCTATTAAGGTTCTTTTGCTTTTGCATCTTCCACTGCCATCAACTGTTGCCCCTCTGCCATTCTTCCTTTGGCACCCGCCGATTATAAACTGAAACCTCTACAAACTGTGAGCCAAATAAACCTTTCTCCCTTTAACTTTGGGTATCAGGTATTTTGTCTCAGCAAGAAGAGAAAAGTAACTAAGACAAGTCTAAAGATTAAAAGGAAGGATTTTTTTTGTTTCTTTGTTTTATTTTGTTTACTTCCCTCTTTTGTACTGGGGATTGAACTCAGGGCTTTCACATTGAGCTACATTTCTAGACCTTTTAAAATATATTTTTATTTTGAGGCAAGGTCTTGTTAAGTTGCCCAGGCTGGGGTCAAACTTGTGATCCTTCTTCCTTAGCCTCCCAGAGTACTAGGATTGCAGGTTAAAATGAAGTATTTTAAAGTATACTGATGAGATAGCTCATCTTTAAAAATGGCCTCAAGGACTCCACCTTACTTCCTAGTGTAATCCTAGTTTGGTAATGATTAGGCCTATAATTTGCATTAACCAATAAAAGGAGTAAGAGATATGTCATGCAAGACCCTGGCCTCATCTTAGCTAGTCAAACTTGCTAGAGAGACCTGTGAAGAAGCCATAAGAAGAGATGAGGCCCTGAGACTACATGGAGAGGAGAGAGGTAGGTCCCTCACCTCCTCCACTCTCCCCATTCCCACCCCAATAGTCCTGTGGAGCCTCCAGAGGGCTCCAACACCAGGGGCAATTTAAGTGCAAGAAAAAGACTTGATTCAGTACCAATTACATATGAAAACAAACATATTTATAAATATATATTTTATAGGACCTTGAAAAACAGGTTCCATTTTTCTCCAAGGTCATTAATTTCAAAATTCAGAAAAGGTGGGAAAAATATAACTTAATAGAAAAATAGTCCATGTTACAAGATATTTAATGTATTTTCTTTGCTACAACAACTCATTTTCTACCTTGATTAAAATAAAGAGACTAGGTCTTTCAGGTATGAGTTAATGAAATTCTATTATTTGACTACAGAAGAGACCCACTGAATTTATCACTACATTTTTCTCTAAACCAAGCCTATTTCCACACAGATCTTTCTCTGACACAAACTAAGTGTTGATTACTAACCAGGCCTGATCTCCCCTTACTCAATCATGAGTGTAAGGAAGTCCAAATAAAATGTATTCCTGGTTTTGGCAATATAAGGAACAGCAATAGTTTTTCAATAACTCAGCATTTTCTAAAGAGATTTGTCAATAGAAAAGGAAAATCAAAGTGTTAGATGATAAGCAATTTAGTTCTCAGAGCTTTTGATTTATGCCCTTAAATCTATGAATAAAGCACTTGCCTGTCCTGCATCCATTAGAAAGGAAACAGTGTTGATTAACATTAAAAGTGCACTCCATAGAGCTATCAAATGACTTTACCTCTAAGACAATGAATAATTATTTATTTATACTTTGACTAAAAGCTAATAAGCTATATTAGGGAAAAAAATCTAAAAAAAAAAATTGAAATGTTGAAAAATCCCTATGGTTGAGTTCTTACATCAGATTACAAAATAGGGTTTTAATAGCCATTTTAGTCCTTTTTATAATATTCTTGTTTAATCTTTTGGAATTCTTAAAGTACATTAGATATCTTGTAACATAAGTATTTTTTCCTATTAAGTTGCAGTAAGGAAATATCATGTGAATAATGAGATATTGAACTCAACAACTATTCCAAAGAGTAGTGATACACAAGGCTTTGGTATTTGTTTTGTTCTGTTTTTGTTCTGTTCTGCTTTGTTTTTGTTCTAGTTTTGTTCTAGTAACTGACTCAGTTACTAAAGTCAGAGAAGAACAGAAGTAATTTGTAAGAAGTATGTCCTAGGGCAGGGGATTTAGTTCAGTGGTTCCGCTGCCTGCCTCGAAAGTGGAAGGACCTGAGTTCGATCCCTGGTACCAAAAAAAAAAAAAAGAAGTATGTCCTAACCCTAAGATCAAGGAGGTAAATGACATTTTAAAGTCATTTCAATACAACATTTCAAAACAGGCTCTGTTTTTCAAACATATACATAGCACCATAATTACACACTATGACAAAGGGTTAGACCTGAGGAATAGTAACATTCAGATGATTCCAGACAGATGAAACCCATCACTCTTCAACTGGAGCCACTGCAACTGAAGCTCACACAACCCTTATTAAGAACACTATTCCTCAGATGCACTTATCTGCTGCTTACACTTTAGACAGGAGTTCCCATTATCATTTCCTATCCTACTGTTAATGCAAGACAGCTTAATCTACACAAGAGACAGAGAGAACACTCACTTCCTCTTTTCTCCTCAGAGGACAGTAGGGTATTTCAGAATGATGCATCTTGCTGTCATTTTTCCAGTATCAACTGCAGGCTGAATGTAAACTCAATTATGAATATGAATACAAACAGGACTTCTGAGTCCTACAGATCACATGAATATAATGCAAGTAAATAACATTTCTGCTGGTCTACTCTCCAAACATTAATCTGTATAATGAGCAGTTAAAAGGTTTTTGAGCTGATGACTGCTGACAAATTTCATTCTCTCTCACTCATTTTCTCAGCCGTTTCCTACACCCTACGTTCTAACTCCCAGCTCACTACTGAGCTTCTCTTCATCAAGATGTTTCTGAACACTATGCAAGTATGTCTCCACCTAGACAGGATATTATGGGTTGGATTTCAAATGTCTCTCAAAAGGCTATGCATTGAAAGCTTGATCCCCAAAGTAGCAGTGTTCAGAAGTGGAGCGTAGAGGGGTGATTGGATCGGATCGTGAGAACACTAACCTCATCCATGGAATCCAAGCTGGAAAGGCTATGAGGAGATGGGGCCTAGTTCAAGGAAGTAGGTCACTGGGGGCTTGGCTCTGAAGGATATATCTTGTCCTTGGTCCCTGCCTCTCTGGCTCTCTCACTCTGCTTCCTGGGTGCCATGGGGTGAGCAGCCTCTTCCACTACACGCTCCACCACCATGATGCTCTGTCTCACCACAGGCCGGTAACAATGGGGGCAGCTGATCACTGACTGAAATCTCTGAAATTATGAGTCCAAATAAACCTTTCCTCCTTTGTTATTCTCAAGTACTTCTTCACACAATGGAAAGCTGATTAACATAAACGATCATCAGCTACCTACATATTGTGAATTATTAATTTCGACATTCTCCATCTGTCCTGGGAGATGTGAAAGAGAACTGCCTTAGCGCCAGGGAGAGTGAAACACCCCGTGAATCACCCAGCTGTCTCTGAGAAAACACGCAATGAACTACTCTCTAGGCTGAGATATTAGATACATTGTAAATGTTCCTTACACAAGCTCAGACTAGAGGAGACAAGAAGAAAAATGAAACCACGGAAAAATAACAGAAACAGGAGTCTGTCCACACTTGACTGTGATGTATCCTAGTTTAGAAGATTGTTGTTGCCATTTACTAGGGGATTGACGGTAGAAAAACGAAGCACACTCCAAAGTCAGACAAAGCCAGCTCTGTAAACAGCAAGTATAATAGCTACATTAAAAGCACAGTACAGAAATGAAAA